CACCAATCCGGAGAAATTCTCAATTGCTATATAAACTTCTCAAACCCACTAGAACTTTCTCGGGAGTCACCCACTTTGCTCAAATCTAATTGCACCGCCCAAATGGGTCAAAAGACACCTGCCCCATTAGCACAACAATACTCAAAGAAGTAACTCTACTTTAATAGCCCCAATCAAATTCATACTCCGTGCGTACTACATATTTTGAAAATAACAACTCACTCATCCCATGATTTTCACATACTCATAAAGTACAATATAACCCGTATCCAAGAATTCGTTTACTCAAGTCATTCTCGAACTCCATCTCTGCAAGTCATAACTAATCCACAAGTATGCCTCAGACCAAAACTAAAATTTAATATATAACCATGAAATTAAGCCATCTGCAGCAGGCTCCCCCACTTGGCTCAAAGCCATAAATTTAAACACTTCATAACTCACAATATCCATACTCTACTACTTCCCTAATACTTCCGTCAGTTCAACAAAATATTCTTCTCAAGCCCATACAACGCTAACCATAAAAATACCCCAAATCATCTGCTAAGCTCGCAATCATTCTCTTGACACTCAAGTCAACTTTCTCAGCCAGATTCAAATTCAAATCTCCACACATACGCCCTACTGGCGGAAACGTAACTCTCCACTCACATATAAGGAACACACCTATGTAGATTACTCTCCAGGAGATAACCCACCTCCCTAGCCTCAAATTGGCATCTTGTTATATCTTTTCGCAGTCACAATTACTATGCAATCACTTAGTCAATCGGAGTCCAAACTCATTACCCAGACATGAGAATTTAATTTACCCCAAAATTTAACAATATGAAAGATCCTTCAAAACATTCATACTCGAGACTATACGTCACATTAAAACGAAAATCAAGCACCCAATGGCCATTTCTTTACATTTCAAGAAAACACTTCTCGTCACATTCAAATCGTCTTAACACATCACGCGGTCACACCATACCCATCATACCACCATTCCACCTCTCATCGAGCCACAAATTCCACTGTAGGGTCATTACAGGACATATGAGTCCAATTGTACAAGTTATAACTGAAGCTACCGAGCTTAAACTGCGGTCTAACTATGGCCTCAAGTCCTCCAGACTGGCCCAGCACCAAAACATAGAATTCACATCTCGCACATCATCCCTGAAATCACAAGTCACTGATACACAACTGATACCGAGCGCTCATGTGCGCATACGAATATGTGGAAGGAATTCAAAGAGTTATGTCCCAAGCTGAATCAATCCCACACGATAAGGAAAGAAAGATGGGAAATATATATCCTAAATGCCCTGTAGCCTCTCGAAGATAAGTATGGACGTCATCATACCGATCCGCAAGACTCTACTAGACACTTGCTCATGACTTGTAGAACCTATGAACCTAGAGCTCTGATA